ACTGAGTTCACATGCAATGGTTTACATGTCCAATTTATAGCATTGAGTGACCATTATCCATTGCCACTGGTGATATTTATCCTGATTTTGATCCCTGATGGGTATGTGGTTGCCAAATACTGAGGTGACGTATCCTGTGAAAAAAAGCTATTCATTACTTTCTAGCTTCCAGTGGTTGTAAAGATTTAAACTCCTGATAACCAAATTCTTACTTATGAATAACTCAAAGAGGTACTTCCCGGAGTTGTAGTGAGGTATGATTAATTGAGTCCAAATATATCAGCCATTAAGCGTAACTAGACAGCTTGACTTTTGAGTTTACAATTTTCTGACTCGAACTATGATGAGAAAAGATATCTCGGAAACTGAGTCGGTATCCAGTGGTGTACATAGCTAACGTCAGTCGAATCACGGTGACACTGTTAAACTCCACTAGTCACGGTTTTTCAATATAAATACAGGGATTCCATCTAAAAGTTAGTCACTAGTGAGTAAATAGTTATTATCAGTATAGGGCTTTGTGGAAATTATAGAATTCTCATAGTTTAAATTACAAAATGACTTTAGCTAGATCGCCATTGAAAACTAGGAGGCGCTAGGCAATTGGCTCAGTGGTTTAGATGTCGAAGCTTCGAGCGAGATCAAGATTACTGGATTCGACCCAATGTGGTAGGGTCATGGATATGCACTGCTAATGAGTTCCGTACCAGGACGAAACAGCTATTGTATCCTGGTTTTCAATGGTTGTTTTACTAAGGTCAGATAGCGATGTAAATCATAAAATCTCTACAATCTCTGTAAAACCATGTACTGATAAAATCTAGAAAAAAAGATTTAAACAGAGAAATTGTATTGTGTCCCAAGACTAGATGTACACGTGTACTCAGCGGAAGAATGATGTTCATCCACAGTAAGCCCATTCAACCATTTTGTTATTTCAATAGTTGAAATTACTAGAATCTCCACAAAACCCCTTCTGATATTTTATTATTTGTCTACTCGCTTTAATCCACTATGTAAAATTATGTGTGAGTCTGATTGAGCGCATGTCTGTACGTCAATCTTTATATATTCTCCCATTGTTTGTAAGTGCAGACAATGAAAAATTATCCACAATCGGTTAATACATACTCTCACTGGTTTCCCTGTGTGCTTGCTATCTGTGCACTTTCGGACTCTTACCAGCCATTAACAATCAACTACCTCTACGGCTCGTGTTCGAACTTTTGAATAACCTCGAGTAAATTCATACTACTAGGAGATTTAGCCTACGTAAATAAATACTCAGTTAACGGGATACTATTTATTAGAGTCAGATACAGAGGAATTAACCTCTTCACACCCATGTTCTGGAATGAACATTTGTCTGTCTGTGTGTGTGTGTACACGATAAAATTTGTAAATTAAACTGAATATAAAGGAGTAAGTAATAGTTAGTCATTGTTTCATTAAATTATTAATTTTTAAACGATTACGAATAGACAGATAGGTAACAGTACAGACGTTAAGTATGTCTGATGAAATTTCTTAATGTATACACATATAAAACACTACATTGTCTGTTAGAATTGTATTTACCTTAAAGTTATCCAAAAATGCTATTATTATTATTATTATTATTATTATTATTATTATTATTATTATTATTATTATTATTACTATATAACTAACCGATGAGTTGATAAATCAAGCAATGAACTTTACTTTTCAGAATTGATTAATTAAATTGTTAAACTGAAATTGTTGTTTGCATCAAGCACTTTTTAAACAAATAGAGGCAACGGGGGTAAGTGGTGTTTGAATTAGATACATTTTAACATTACAACAGATTCATACACGGAATTTGTACACGGCGTGTACAGTGATAAACTAAAGAATATGAAAATATGGGATTCTAAAAACGAATGAATTAAAAGTATGAGTATGAATCTTAGTTCACAAATGAAAAGTTGCCTATTGTATCAATGTTTTTTTTTTCAACGGACCACACGTAGATGTACATTCGATTGTTCGCTTGACTTGATGAGATTAATGTGGTTAAGTGATGACCACATGTAAGGCCAGGATTTTTTGATGCGGTATTCACTCAAATAAACAGATATCAGAAAACTGGATGACTCGTAAAAATGTGGGTCATTTACTTTACGATATTATATAATCATACACGAATTTTTTAGAATTAAACTCAGATAAAGGTTAACAATGGAATCCAGGATGTGTGTGTTTCAACGTATTTAGGATTTGTCAGTCGGCTGCACTTGCATCCTAGTTTTGAAGTTCACACTTGAATTCAAACCTAATATCTTTTGTTACTGATTCTTAATAACTATAAGCTTCTGCAACCGGTGTGAATTTACACTGAATTTACAATGCACTTTACACAAACTAAACATGATTGATATTTAAAATTTTATCGATTAGCAGATTAAGTTTTCGTAGGTCATTAACTACCCTAGGAAAATTGAGATCTCATTATTAGATTTACAGATTGCCTATTATATCAGCATCTCGTCAGTCAGTCAGCTACAACGTAGGACCAGGCACATATATGCATCGTTCCAAGTTGCTATACCTCATTAACACAACAAGATGAACACCGGATTCATAAAAGTAGTTAATTCAGAGGTGGTAATATATAAAAGAAAGATTGCAATAGGAATATAATACAGGAAGAAAGAATTAGTTCGTAGAAATGAAGATATAAAGCAATTTTAATCTCTCGGTTTAAGAGGAGACAAAGAGTGTATACACCAACGCCATTGTGGTCGATTCTGAGCCATGTCGCCAAGAGTCTTCAAACATTGGTTACGATAGTCACGCGGACCCCAACCAAATAGTCTGCATCTATCAACACAGCTCACACCAGAGGTTAGTGACTTCGAGCACTGATGCCACGTTTTGGTTTGGCAGCTCCTAACTTGCCTCCAACCATCTCTAACACTAGTCAGCATTGCGCGTCGTGGTTATCGGCGTTCAGACATACGTAAAACATAGCCCAACCATCTCAGTCGATAAAGATTTATAACCTCATCAACTGATTTACCATCATTCCCTAATACCCTGCGTCTAACCTCACTATTACTTAAGCAGTAATCCCAGCAGACGCCAGCAATATTTCTAAGGCATCTGTGGTCAAATACTAGTAGCTTATGAGTGTATTCTACTCTTAATGACCATGTTTCGCTGCCGTAAATTAAAACAGAACGGACTGCCGCGCAGTATTCTCGTCCTTTTATTGATGGACGGATATCTCGCCTCCACCATAGGTGACGTAAGTTGGCAAAAGCCAAGCGAGCTTTTCGAATCCGTGCTGAGATTTCATCAGACATAAACCCATTAGGGCTGATCGGACTTTCAAGATAAGTTTTCAACGCGTTCGACTACTTCACTCCCTATCCTTAGTTCAGGTGTAGACGCAGACTAGTCCTGAAGCAACAACTTGTATATCAGCATCTATAACAATTTGATAAATAGAGAAGTCCGATAGAAAGAATGAGTGACGTTTAAGAGAATAAATAAGTATATGCAAAAGAAACAAGCAATATTCTATGGGCGACAAACTGAAACAGTTATTGTAGCGTCAACAATATATATATATATATATATATATATATATATATATATATGATTCATAAATTCCTTCATGAATATACGTTCACCAAAATCATGTGAACAAATAGTTCACTAATTTAGTTAACGAAGTACAAATTTTTGGAAATATTTTTGAGATACTCTTTAATTAAAACAGCCAGTGATGGACAAATCACATTTATTTAGCTGAATAAATCGAGGCAGGTAGAGTGGAGGTTTTGAATTTAAACAAATACTAAGCTATTTTTGTTTCAGACTAAACAACTACTTTTTAAGTGTACAGGCAAAATCCAAAATCCTTTTATTATTAATGTATTTATATTTCTACTATGAGATAGTTTGCAATTCTTCCCAATTATGAACGATTGGAAGATGTTACTTAAGATGAGAGGTAAAAACGCATTTTGAAGAGATGACAAGTAATCTGTCCACAACAGTTCAACAATAATAATTATTATAATGCTCTATGAGGCTAAAGAAAGGAGAAAGAAACTCATTAAAAGCTAAATATTTCAAAAAGTTGGATCTGTAACATAGCAACTGCTTAAATAGCAACAAATATAACCTTATAAAATATAACGAAAATAGTATGCTAAAAGTTAAGGTAGCCAATCAGATGACAGCTAAGTCCATTGAGGTACTATGAATTGAGAAAAGTTGATAAATTTTTTTTGTAAATCAGAACAACCATTTGTTAAGGAGAGTAATAAAAAATTAGGTCTTATTATTCTTAGTGATCTACTCAAAACACTCGGGGAACCATCAAATTTTCCAATTATGTAAATACTGTTACCAAATTATTTTGTCCCAAAATTATTTTATTCAATCATCTAAGTAAACTTATCACATTTTTATATCAATGATAAACCTTAAAAAGAGGTTGATCAGTAACTATAAAAATGTGGCAATTACGAGTGACAATGTAAAAGCTATTCCGTTGGAGGAGTAAAAAGCGTAAAATAATTTTTAAACTGATAATTTAAGTGAAGATAGGAAGTAAATGCACTTTTGACATTGCCAGCGATTTTCTGAGCTACGTAATTCAACGTCCTAAACCATTGGTTACGACAATCCCGAAGATCTCAGACTAAGTAGTCAGCATATACTTAAAGGATCCGTTCGACAGTCACTGATTTTATCGACTGATGTCAAATCTAACCTTAGTTTTTCTAATCCAACGTTCCCTACAAACAAGGGGAAATCAAATGCCATTTGTAAATGACAGCAAATTAATTATAAACCTTTTATTAAGCACAAAGCGATTTAATATATTCTACACGTATTCTCCTTTATAGTATTAATTAACAATGAGTATATGCACTGTTGTGAAATAGCAGATTAACAATTAAACATCACAATTTATAGTATAAAAAGACGAGAGAATATCAGGGATAAAAACGAAGAATTACCAGGAATGAAAATTGGTGGATTAATGTTATATCGTGATGCATTATTCTGATGATAATCGGTAGGAATATTCATTGTTACTGTTGCTCCTCCCATATTAATTGTATCACGATTTGCTACTGAATAAACAGATGAAATAAAAACGATTAGGAAGAATTGGTAAAAAATGTTTCATGAACATATATTTAGATTATGTAACTCACTATATACATGGAATGGGTGATGTTTAAAAGATTAAAGAATAATTGATGAAGGCTTGTAATTTCTCGTTGTCGGTATCCACGACTATAGTTGATTAGTCTCAGTTGGTAAAAGTGCATCTCATGCGGATTAAATAGATTTAACGTTAGTTAGCATGTGATTAGTAGTGAAATCTCGGATGTGTATTTCGTTCTATTCGCTACTCCTCAGCTGGATGCTATAACACTATATAGGGAAAATCCATCCATGTTCCGGATATGGCAACAAAGACTGAATTTAGTAGCACAGGGGATAATGCAAAAGGCATCAACACAATTTTATTAGCAACATAGAGACAGAGTTCTGGTGATAATTTTCTTTGTACATCAAAGCTGCCCAGGTATCAGTTCAAAAGATTTGTCGGTTAGATATATTTTTCTTGATTCCTTCAATTAAAAAGATAGCATAAGCATTTTCGTGATTTTATAGATTGGACCGACAAACCAATAATCATTTTTACAATAAAATTGGTTTTCCAAATAAATCTCACACATTTACCATCTATAGCCCATCAACTGTGATGTCAGAAATTTGAAATAACTACTGAGCTCTAAAAGATGATCCGTTTTCAGGTTAAACGAATAAACAGGGTTCAGAGAAGTGATTAAAAACCGATTTTTATTAACAACAAGCCATTGATGCTAAAACTTTTAAGATAAAATGAACATATGCGACACTCATTTCAATCCACTGAACAGTTCAGTTCAATCTCCTCAAATAACTTGCTTGTCTTGTTTCCAGTCACAAATGATTAAGCTTCAAATGGTCGATTATTGAACAATATAGGTTACAAGCAAATGACACTCAAAAATTATCGAAATTCCATATCGAAGAAAAATCTTTACAGTCCATGTAATTTATTTACTAAATATAAGGTTAATTTCAAGTGATTTTAACACTAAATCACCCTTTCCAGTCTAATAGTTATAGTCAATGTATAGTTTAGTACGGATGTGAGCTGGTGAAAACAATTTCCATACAAGAGCAGGACGACGAGGTTAAATTAGTAAGATAAACAGTAAATGACTCGAAATGAAGGAACAAACAATGAGGATTTTTTTAGAAAAGAAGTAAGGAAAAGACATGTATGAATGAATCTTGAGAATTAAAGTACAGCAGCATCATTGTGACTAAATCTAAGCTATATCATTCAATATTCCTAGATATCAGTCCCTTGGATGTAAAGCAAGTAGTTTGCATCTATTAAAGTTGATAATCTCGTAAACTGTTAGCAAGTCCTGGTTTAATTCACTTTGACGTTCTTCCAAACTACTTCCGACAGACCTGTGCGTTGAAGCAGGTAGTAGTTGAACATACGTAACATATGTTCCAGTGACCTCGATTTGCAAAAATCCTCAGAATTATTAATCACGTTGTCGTTGCTTACCTGGTATCATACTTCCAACCCTCTCTTTGGGACTCCAACCGAGAACTACTAACCACCCAATGTACAAACATACTTTATTTAAACGAGTTTTGACTAATGAATTCAAATATCCACCGCAGTATTGTATCCTTACGTACCTTAATATCTTATCAATAATCTCAGAAATTTGTGAATGACACCTGATTGTCACGCTGATTATCATCAGCGTCATCGTTATTTAATCAGTGGGGTTCAATAATGTTGGGTGTGAAGCAGTTATCTACGAGTGCTATTGGAAGATATTTGTGCGATGTAGAGAATTAGTTAAATTTGGAAATCGGAACAACTAAATGTTAACCAGTGACATGAAGGTTTTAGGTTTGGTCACCGGTAGCGTTGTAGATACACACCGTCTAGGAGTCTCGTACTAAAACGAAATATCTATCCAGCACTTCAATTTGTAATGTAGACTAGACAATATGCATTTGTCATACTATCATACTGATCACTGCATAAGTTGAAAGTTCAACGTTACACTTGGATATAGATCAAACTGTCGACAGGCTTTGATTATAAACGCAAATACACACGAAAAAACAACTATCCAAGTGATCTTCAATCATACAAAACTAATCAATTGATAGTAAATTAATTGACAAAAAATAACCCATTCTGAAAACAGAAAACAATTTTATACCAGCGGGCAGAGATTTGTTTGCTTGTCAGTTACACAATTTTCAAAGAATGATTATAATAAGCTAGTTGACACTAAAGGAAAAATTCAAATATTCATATATTAATTACTATCACTATCATTTTTTTCGGTGACTGAAATAAAATAAAAAACAAAATTTGGTAACATTAAATGCCAATCTTTACTACATTATATACGTGGAATTCATCAACACAGAAGAAATAAAGACGAAACAGGAAGTGCCGATTCATATCTAGGCAGTCATTAATTAATCATTTTCAGTGCTTTCTTTGTATCGTTTCTCTCCAAGAGTTATAGTTGTTCATTTAGGAAGTTTAAGAGAAAACTCTTATCGATTCTAAAGTGAAGAAATAATCCATTAAAATGATAATTATCCCAAATAATTAAAGACTCACATTTGTTAGGTGAGTGAATGTGAGGCCAGTTGTTGTGAACGAGAATGTGACCCAGGAGAATTCAGAATCATTTTTAATAACTACATATATTTAATCGAAAATAGCTCCAAATCATTACAACATCTCGGAATACTCAGATGTTGAATATAGATTTAATAAGGTATAAAGAGAGAAACGGCATAAGTTCCTTCAAGATTACAGATATATCGTGCTGCGACGAGTGCCAAATAGAACGAAACGAGGAATAAAGTACGGTTTTCTGTCGACTAATTATCAACCATCTAATATTACTTTTCATAATGTGTAATTCTGTATTTCTCAATTTGTAGATACAAGAATTCAGTCGGGTTTTCACTAGATATGAATTAATTTCGAGAGTTTAAACGTCAATAATTCAATATCATGAGTAGTTATGAGCCAGTTATATTGTATCACGGTGTATTATTGACATAAATTAGTTTCCTATCCATCATTTAAACTGTACGAAGACGTACTCATCATTAATAGCACAAAAGATAAGAATTTTTACGATGATAGTTTATAAAAACAGTGATCGAATGTAGTAAATGTATAGGATTGAAAAAAATAAAAAAAAATGAATACACAGTGATCTCGCGTACTGTTAGAGACATGAGGGTAGTTAAAAATTCCCGGTCATCTACAACGTACAGGGATAACTGTTCTTGAGAGACGTGCAAAAGAAACTTGTTCATGACCTAACATCGTGACCACAGTACCAAATGGACAACTACTTGGGGCCAGTTAAACATGGTCTTTTTCCATTATTTTTTAGGTGAGTTATCTCATTACTTTTATGGCCCAATTGTAGGAGACGAAAACTCGTAGAGCAACGTAAGGTGTGACATATTTAGAGTTCCTCCTTCGGTTGTCAAAATGACAGAATTGCTGTACAAATCAGTTGTCTGAAGGAAATGACTCACTGCCGTTACACTCATGTACGACTTCGCCTTCGAATCACCAGTTTTCTGATTTTCGTTTAAACGCTCTTCAACCAACCTTTCAGGAATGGCAGAAAGTGAAGGAACCAATATTCCATCCAATATAGCTCAGTTGAGTTGTCACAATATGGAAGTCTGACCATAACTTCAAGGAAGGATCAACGACAGGGTATTTTTACTTGCATACGATCTTTTGTATATTGTCAAGTGTTCTATTCTGCGTGCGCAGCACAAGACAGTAATAACCATAATGATAAAGTAGGGTAATGCTATCCAGTAACCAAGTAAATGTTCGTAAACTTGCTTTCGAGCAGTACATTGATGTATGTAGGAGAACTACTATTGTTGTTGCCGCCGTCCATCCACAGAAGAGTGACCACTAAAAAGGTTTTGATCACCGAATAAATGACCCCAAGTCACATATTCTTGCCACTAATCTACCGTACTACTAAAATGGCATGACTGACAAATGAGAACATGATATCTGCTGCCACTCTTTATGTATTTTTATCACTTAAGCTAAAGCAAAAATATGATATATTTTCAGCCTTATCAATATTTTGCGAGGAAAAAATAGATGACAGGAGATAATCACGTTAGAATACATGTATCAGATATATGGAGGGTGGACAGAAAGAAAAACAGTTATAGCCATTGAAATGAGTGGAAGTGTTCCCGAATGAAGATGAATGAGTGATCATTACTGATGACTATCGAAACACATATGTAAAGTACATTTATTCCCTTAATAATTACCATTCGAATGTATATGTATTAGTGCTGAGAATTCCTTACTATAAGAACTAAACAATAAGGAATTCTGTATTACAATGTATTTAGACTATCACTCGGGAGAAATCGACCAAACTAATCTATGTAAATATAGGGAAACCATGTGAAGAATAATACAAAAACGAGACACAACTGGTTTTCACTTCGTAATAAATGATAGCTTAAGTTTATGCAGGATATTAATTAAAGACAATATCAATGAAAACATGCATCAGAGAACCTTCTATGTATTAAATATGCATGTGTATCTGAGTAATATATGTTCACTAGTGTAGGGGATAATTCCAGAAATTTGATTGAGAAGTTGCGACCAGTGGTGTTTTAGCCATGTCTGATGTGCAGTCAGGAACAACGTAGAACCTCGTACGTATGTACATCAGTTCGAGTTGCCAAACCACCTTGGCACAGAGATGCAGTTGTCGATTCAAACCCCGTAGTGGTAGAGGTAGCAAGAGTATAAGCAGTAATCGGGAAGATTAGGGTTTAGAGATGTTATTTAAAGAGTATAATCCAGAGAAATAAATTTGGAAAGATGAAAAAAGGGACATGGAGAATTCAGAAGATTAGAATTAGGGAGAACACAAAGAGTGGATGCACCTGAGCCATTGCAAACGATTTTGAGCCATGTCATTCAGGGTCTCTAATCATCGGT